CACTACTTGCCCCCCACGTGTCTCTCCCAAAGCAAAAGACACAACTGACCCCCGAGTTTTTTGCACCCGGAGCTGAGGATGCTGCTCCCAAATTTCTGCTGTCTTCCCACAGATCAAACCTTTATAAGTGCAATGACCCCCCCCCTCAATACATCACCAACCCCCGAGCCCCCCAGCCCTGCAGGGCTGAGCTTGATGCTGGAGGAGCAGAAAGAAGACAGCATGGACATACCCCCTTCCCTCCTCCTCGGTGTGGGAGGATCCTGCTCTGCTCCCAGAGGCTGATGCACTGGCTGGGAAAGGGCTGCCGGGTTTTTAATACATGGAGAGGAGGGGGGAGAGGCAGGATGTGGCCAATCAAGCCAGCAACCCCCTGCTGGGACATTATTTTGTCCCCAGGGGTGAGCCAGCCCTAGTGGTGGCTGTTCTCCAACAGCCCAGGCTTCTCTGTGGCTGCTGGGGACAGGGTGGGATGGAGGGCAGGATGGGATGGGGGACATACTGTGCTCCCTGCCCTGGTGTTCCCATGGGTGATGGAGACACACAGCTCTGAGCAGGGGGGACAGAGCCAGCTCCATCCCTGCCCCAACCAGCTCAGGTCTGCAGAGCCATTCCCAGCTGTGGCCATCCCTAGGGATGCAGGAATGGCAAAGCACCAGGTGCAGCCCCCCTTGCTGGCCTGGGTTCCAGTTGGGTGAGACCCCAGGGCCCCGTGAGCATCCCAGCCCTGGGCAGGGTTGTGGGTCCCACTGCTCCCCAGCGTTTTGGGGTCTGCACAGGCCCACCCCAGCAGCCAGATGGCTGGAGATACTCAGCTCATCCATCCCAACTCACCTCCCGTGGGGCTCAGCACCATTTGCCCCTCTGCTCCCGGTTGCTTTGGAAACACTGGGGTGGTTGGGGGAGGTGGGTGTCATAGGATGGGAGATATTCCCCATCCTCCCTCTGGGTGCACCCACATGCTCTTTATCAGGGGGGCTGATCAATGCCCCCCATGAAGGGCTCAACCAGGGGAGGGACATGGCCCAGCTTCGTCCTCTGGGAGGGATGTCATTGTCAGGAATGTGGGGCTGGGACCCCCCAGGGTGGGCACAGCAGCCCCACGGGCTCCTGGCATTGCTGGGCAGCCTTGTGCACACACAGCCACCCACGGCTGTAAAAATGTTCTTCTCCCTGGCAGGCAGCTCACAGCCCCCACGCTCACCCACCCGAGACGTGGCACCCATCTGCCAGCCTTGTGCAGTCCCCCACGAGTGGGGCTGGACCTTGGCAGGGCCCCCTCACCCCCAGCATCCCCCCCTGCCAGGGCAGCCCCAGCAGAGCCAAGGGTTGCCTCTAATCTTCATTAAGCCCCTCATTAGGCGGCTCAGCAACCACTGGAGCTGATGTGGCAGCTGGGGCAGGGGAGGTGGCATTACAGCTGCCCCAGTGCCTCTGCTCTTGGGAGGGGCTGCAGGCACTTTGGGGTCAGCAACTGAGTCCCTTGTGGCCTGGGGGCTTTGGTCCAGCCTGGCTGGAGGGGCCCACCCAGTCTTCAGATGGCACCTCCTGCCCCAGCTCAGGGGAAGTTATGGGGGCACCTCCTGCCCGGCAGCCCAGCATAGTGGCAACTGCTGCAATGCAACAGTCTGGGCTGGTTGAGGCTGGTGGGGGGTCCCTGAGGCAGTGGGGGTCCTGGGGACAGCAGGATCCTCAGTTTGCTGCCCTGGAGAAGCAGCCACTATCCATCCTTGTGTCCATTTATTCCTTTGTCTCCAAAGCAGCAGCTCAGCACCCTCAGCATCACCCCAAGGAGCAGTGCAAACCCTCACAGCAAGGGGAGGTCCTACAAGTGGTCTGGGGGGGTCCCCAGCTGCAAGGGGGGAGCTTGATTGGAGCAGTAACTCATCCTGCTCCAAACTGCTGCTCACCACATCCAGCTGGGCCCCAGTGCTCCCACAGCCCCTTCCCCAGCTCCGGGAAGATCAGCACCCATCATGCTGAGGGTGCCCACCCCAGCAGCCCCCCTTGGCCCCCACTAACAAGGGGCTTCC